TTGAGTAGAAGGGGGGTGGGCTTAAAATTTCTTATAAAATCAAAAATGTGTTAAATGGGATTCAGATCTGGAGATCTGAAGATGCATCATCACACAGAGGTCTTTTGGTCAATATCTTTGGACGTTTATCACGAGGACACCGCTTTAAGGATGATTCAGAGTACTGATATTAGACTGTCACAAGCACCGATTTCTTTTTCATACGATATCATTTTCATACTATTGAATTCTTTTGTTTTCGTATTTCTAACATTGTTTCAGGACAATTTAACTGTGTTTAAATCTGGTGTGACGCAAAATTTTGGCCTCAGACGAAGAACAACGTCACTTAAGGTTTGGTCAAAAACTTTCAAATTGTGATAAATTGGCGATGAAAAAGACGGACAGCCTATCAAAAAATGTTGTTTAAATGGGATTTGATACGGATTGTTAATCTTTAAAAGTAATATCAAGGACAACTTAACACTGAAATAAAAGTAAGTAAAACGTGGTGCATGGATGGTCCAGATATCAACATTCTAACGGCTCTCCCTTCTTTCTCAATGGTCATTTTGCCAATGTTTTGTGTTTTTTAGTGAAAACAGTTTTTAAATTGTGATAATGTTCACAAAAAATTACTAATTATACGAAACACGTGCCACAAAGTAAGGATTTATTGTTTTTAAGATTCGTCATGGATCATTGGTTTTCATCGGTTATATTTATTTTTCTTTCTATAATTGTTGAGAGGACTCATTTGTTGTAATAATTTGAAAATATTATACATAAATACATTTATAAAAGTGAACACTTAGAAGTTTTGTTAAGTGTATATATCTCCAATTTTTTGACATTGTCTGTCCTCCTGTAATTTCTTCTCGCTCATAATTATTGTAAATATGTATACTAGTATATGTAATCTACCCATCTCGCTGAGATTAGTATATGTACCTCTTGTACCATACATTTGGTTTTTGAGAGAACAAATGAATGTTGATTATAATAGTAAAGCCAGTCAGATACTACAAACCACACCATCGTGGTACCTGGAAAGCTATCCAACGAAGGACCCGATTCACAACCTATTGTCGTTATCTATAAGCTAGACAAAGGTGATCGGATTTCTTGCGTTTGATTTTATTATGCTAAAATAATTTTGTTTAAACCACTTTTACATGTATCAATCTGATAAAATTACATTTTCATTATCCTGGACGGGTTTAAATTTAAATATTCACATTTCTAATTCAGTGGCAAAGGACTATTGAAATTGGCATGGGGGTCCTTGTGTAATTTAAATCTATGTCCACTTTTTAAAAATCTAAATCTACAGTTTTATTTCACAATGCAATGAAATTATAAGGAATCACTGTCTAGTTAATATAGCATGCCTGGGACATCAACAATAGTGGGAAACATACTTCGTCCGTCATGCAGATTATCCCACGTTCCCCACAGTCGTCAATGCCCTGGCATACTATACTAACTAAGACAGTGATCCTTAAATGCATAGATGATATCCGGTTAAATACATTGTATATACACGTGATTTAATCGGTCAATAGAAGGATAATACTTTTATTTATAATAACAAAGTTTATACTAGAATGTTGAGAATTATAAAGAGTATACGTTGTTAAAAATAATCTATTGATAAATGGAATATAAAGAGGTCGAATACATATAATGAAATTTCAAACAAGGAGGATTTTGACATGTTAAATTTCTTCCTGTTTATTTGAAGTCCATTTGAATTATAACCCTGAATATGTCGAACCCCCGGACGGCTCGAAGCCGATCTATGGTCCCATCAGCTTCGAGATAACGAAGCTTAACTGTTCATGCATTTTTCTTTTCTATTTAAATACAGAGGCGTTAATTTAATTTATTTAGTGAATAAGTACCATAAGTGTCAATAAAATTTAACATTACAATATCGACGCCGCTCATCATATTGTAACTGGCTTCACAAAAAATGACTTTAGGGCCACTATTAAGAGACTGGTTGTTGATCTTTAAAGGTCATTAAAGGTCATGAGATCCTTTTCGTATTTGACCTTGCCACAAAATAAAGATACATGTAGGCATAAGGTATATACCATCACTCCACTGGACAAAAGTGTCACACAATGCATATGCAAATCAAATATAGTACTGATCACTACAGTAAGGCCTTCATCCTATCAACTATCAAACTAACATTGAAAGATTCCACGTGAGGGCAGGGAATGCCCCCCCCCCCCCCGGCCTGTTACTAGTATTTGGTTCCTATCTTCAATGAAAAGGATGCAGTGAAGGTTAGAGATACTAGTAGGGAAACATCTTTCTGACATAGTGCTTGCAAATGTATTATTCAAAATAATACTAATTTGTCTCTTTTTTTGTTTGTAAATTGTGTTTCTTATCTTGCGAGCTGTGTATTTCTCTATAAACGGTTTACTGTATTTGGTCCGTCTCGGTACGTAAGAAAAATTTAATTTTTTTTTATAGAATAATATTTTGACATAATTGACGGGAAAATCCTTTGTTTTTGAAAATTAAAAGTAATCTTACTGTTTTCCCATTAATAATGGGGCTCCATACATGCACTTAGGTGTCTCTGGCTGAAACTCTAAGAATCAGGTTGAGGTAAAGCCTTATTTTGTATTTTGGAAGGTCTTGTTGTGTACAATGCACATGGTAAGTATTATAAAATTTAAAAAAAACACACTTATATACACAGAACAAAATAAATAATGTCGTTGTCCTTGCGCTTTAAACCAAAAGACAAGGCCACCACAAGGAAGAGTATCCCCTCGCAAAGAGAACTGTATTCGATAATTATCGAATAATGATCCCACGATGCAAATTACGTCACTCACCCATATGCGTCAGAACCGGGGTGGGGGCTAGGGGGGCTCACCCCCCCCCCCCCCCCCACACACACACACTTTTTTCAAAGGTTGACATAAAATAAGCATTGAAAATTGCATGGGGTTTATTATTGTTTTAGTTTACTTTTATTCGTTGGATTAGCCCCATCCCCCACTTTCGATTAGCCATCCCACTTTCAATTTGCTTCCGACGCCCATTCACCCACAAACGAACACGCCCAACTGCGTAACGTGGGGACAATGTCAGATTGATTTACTGAATGAAAAAATATAACTTCTGACTTTGAAAATTTATGAAACAATTTTTAAGCTGGAAAATGAATTGATATACTGAACTCAACAAATGCTGCTAACAAATAATTTTGAATTAAACGATTTATTGATCTCTCTAATTCATCGATCAATTGAGGACTTCGTTTATTATCTTACAAATATGTTTTTTAAAGGAGAAATGAACTAGAGTACCATTTTTTAAAAGAGAGAAACGATTCAACTAAAGACAAGAACTATTTTATTTAAATTGTGGAAATGTTGGATCGGGAAAAAATGGGAAGGAGGGAGTAGATGGGTTTAAATTCACTATCTATGATGACTTGTTACCTTTAAATTATTTTAATTAAATAATAAACGAAACTTAATGCACACTTCCTATCCCGCTGAAAAATGTCATTGTATCCTACAATATAAACATGATAAAGGTCTCGTTATAGTTGGAAATAATGCAGAAACACTCAACAGCGTTTATCTGTCATCCTTGATATATTCCCCTTTTATTTTACTTTTATTACATAAATATAAATGAACTTAATCAATTTCCAGTCCGTTCCTAGATTCGATATAGAAACCGTTGCATGTTTGTGGACAACATTGGAATCGGGCTCGATGTTCAATGTAACGAGTTTAGTAAATATTGTGACGTCATTTATTCAGTGTTAAAAATTTATTCAGCGATTTTAAACAGACTATACATCAAAATACCACATGTCTATGTAAAACTGTATCCACGAATAAGTAGAGGATTAGGAGAAAAATGTTCAAAAACATCAAGAATGATATAATTGTTAAATCCAACAGTAAAGCCAGAGGAGTTCTGATGACGTTCCCCATAAGAATGAGTGATAAAAAACATTCCCCATAATTTTTGATTACATACTGAGACGACAGATACGTAATTTTTAGGATTATAAAGGAGAGTCTATAGTAATATAGTTATTTTCCATAAAAATTGCCTATTATTTTATTAAAATTGTCATACGGAAGCACTTTCCCCACAATGTATTCCATGCGCCCAATTCCTCACAAGTCGGTTATGTCGGGTAAGAGAGAGAGAGAGAGAGAGAGAGAGATTGGCATTGCTAACGGCCTACAGTGTATTTTATTCAATTTCTGAGATCCATATCTGGACGTTCTATTCAATGATAAAACTTTTGTCAAAAATAAAAATTAAAAAATTGAAAATAACTTGAGTCATGTTTTTATGAGTAAAATTAACAAGTATCACTGCGTAGTTTTAATTTTTCATTCAACATTTTACAATAATGAAATCTGAAGTGAAAAAAAATTGTATAGGATGGTTACAGCAGGGACCTACATACTAACTGTTAGTATAAAGGTCCCTGGTTACAGGAAGGTAGAATTCTAAACATCATAGTTATGATAACATTTTCTGAACATTTTAGAAAAATATACGATAAAGTCTGTTTTTCAAAAGTGCTCTTCTCTAAATATTTTCAATCTAAAATGCCGAATTAACATTATACATGTACCTCACAATATTACACTCAATATATTTCAGTAATCAGTGGCGGAATCTTGAAAGGGGTTGGGGGTTGGGATAGGGACCCCCAGTCATACACACCCAAAAAATTGATTTATTTAATCTAATAAGCTTATTTTTTGGACACAAATGGGGGCGACCCCCATGGGTCCCCTGTAAGAGAAGTTTGAGGAAGAAGAAGGTGAAAAGAACAAAAAACCTTATCAGGAAAAGACTGAACACCCCCCCCCCCCCCGTATAAAAAAAATCGTCACTCATACAGTGTGATACAGTTCTTTTAATCAGTTGACAAATAAACTTGCTTCATTTATTATTCCGGAATTATCGCATATCACCGTGATGATTTTATATTTAGTGATAGTAGTAAGACTTCCGCGTGCATTTAGAGATGTCTTCCTCAGAATCAGAGGAAGAATTTTTCAGTTCTATGAAGAAGAAAAGAAAAATTAGCATAAAAAATACTAGTAACACTGTTAGTAGTGATGAAGAAGATTCTACCGAACCACAGACTCCGAAGAAGTCGTGCGCTCCGCGTTCTACGGTATGCTATCCTTCAATACATGTTACTCACTTACTCAGGTTGAGATTAGGACCAATCGCCCAGATGGGATATAATTGTCCGTTTGGAATATAATATCCCAAATGAGCTATAAATTTACAGTGCAAAAAAAATGAAAATTTTTATTTTGGCTATAAATATCATAAATCCGCATCAGGACACTTAAAACGGAAAAACTTTTGGTTGACAAGTTTTTCTGTATGCCCATTGTTTAGAAGATTGATCCCTTGGAAGTTCAATAACTTCTTGGATCAATCTGACAAACTGAAGGATTGCAGAAAAACTTGTCAACCAAAAGTTATTCCGTTTTAAGTGTCCCGATGCGGATTTTATTTATAGCCAAAATAAATTTTTTTGTATTTTGCACCGTAAATTTATAGCCCATTTGGGATATTATATTCCAAACGGACTATTATATCCAATTTGGGGGATTGGTCCCAACCTGTTACTGTTTGCCAGGTCTTATACACTCACTATATTTAGTTATGTTGCTTGAATTACCTACACGACTTTATCTACCTATCTGAAGTAGATTTATTTAGCTACTAAATGGTATATATTTCTAAAATTTGCATTTTCTGTAGCTGTGCAGAAAATGGTACTTTGATCAGCGATTTTTTCTTTTATAACTGGTACCGATAAACGGCACCGTTCCCAAGGCCAAAAAACGATGATTTTTCCCAATTCTGTGACTAAAAATTCCCAATTCAACTGTGAAGCAAAAGATTACGACGACATCATATTTCTTGTTAAATGAACATTGTACAAGTTGACTAATTGTTTCACTTCCGCTTAAAACCAAAGTAGAGAAAGTCGTAATTTGGCGGGAGCAGTGGTTTAGACAGTGTAGTGTCATACTTTTTGACAAATGCGTGACAATGATGTGAAATCAAGGGACGTTGATATAAAAAAAACAATAAGTATTTGTTGCTTATTCTTTAATACAAGCAGTAACAGGTAATTAAGTTGAAATAAACGCAAAATATGTTGCATTTGCATAAAAAGAAGATTCTCCTTTGTTTTTCTTCGATGCTATTTTTCCCAATTGAACCGGTACCGGACTCTTTCCCAATGCGTGGAAAAAAAATCGCTCTTTCAGATACACTGGTGTTTTTTTAACTTAGCTGGAGAACTGTAACTCTCTGCAAAAATATATATATTGACAGACTGGAGACCATCCATTAAAAACTGTAATTCAAGCTACATAGCTAAAAGTACTCATTGTACTGTATCAAAACCCATGTTCTCAAAGGCTGTAAATGAGCATTCAGGACCTTAGGGGCTATTTGGTTCTGTTTACATCTACTATTTTGATCAATTATATGTTTAGTTTGACAGAAAGGAAACATGTGGGTTCCAATGATGATTTTTAATTATCAGTTAGTAATAGGTCCCAGGTCCAATGAATTATCACGATGGTAAAAATTTCTCTAGTGCATTACTATGATTTGGGGATTTTATGAATTTTCAATGTACATATATTGCAAAAGTGATAATTAGCAAAAATTTCCAATGTTGAATACTAAAAAAAACTAGAAAACTAGAAACTTTAATTTCTGAGACCTAGTTCCTGGATAAATGGATATGTTGATTTTTAAAACCTTTGCATCGAGCATTTAAAAAATCAGCTGTTAAAATGAACCAAAAACACTAAATTCTCAGCAAATTGAGAAGTGTAATAACATCCTCTTTTAATTACAGCACACAAGAAGTTCAGAGAGACTTAAAAACAAGAAGCAGTTTGTTATGCCAAAGAAGGAAGATGTATTTAAGGATATTCCATCCTCAGAGAAGGTCAAAACAAGAACTCCATCAAAATGTGTCAATGACTTCACAAGAGTGTAAGAAAATTTTTCTCATTCTGACTGAACAATACAATAATTTTCCTGAACTAAATTATAAATATATTATCACAGTGCAAGATTTTGTGTTAAAAAGATTAACTGACATAATTAAAAAATATGTACAGCTGTGTGTTAACATTTAGATACACAAAAATATAATTTACTTATAGGGAGACGGCTAAAATAGGCTTTGCCTGCTGCCCAATCCCATTCACTTATGTGAATAAAATTTTGTATAAATTAAATTATGAAAACCTTATTTCTTCTCATTCAAAAGTTATGGCTATTTCAAAGTAATGTACTTTTCCAAACAATTCAAAATATTATTGATTGTGATCAAACTCATGATCTTGATTTACTTTTGTATGGTAGTCCCAATCATGGACTAGGTATTAATAATTAAATATTTGAAGCAGTACATGCTTTCATCGCAGCATCCAAACGTTTTATTTGACACTGTCATGTATGTTACTTATGCCAATGCTTTCTAACCGGTACATGTATTACACTGAATTTTTTTTTTTTTTTTTTTTTTTTTTCTCGTTCTATTTTTTTTCCTTTTGTTTCTTTGTTACTATGTTTGTGTATTTATTTCCATATTGTGTGTTCATCTTGACCTTGTAGGGAGAGGGCTAAAATAGGCTTTGCCTGCTGCCCAATCCCATTCACTTATGTGAATAAAATTTTGTATACCAGGTAAATAAAAAAAAAAAAATAATAAATATAATATGTCTTTGAAAAAAGTCTTCCTTACTTATTTGCAAACACTTTTATGGGAAGATTAATAAAATGATAAAATAGGTCAGTTTTAAACAATTTATATACTTGCTTTTAGGACCAACAGATATAATGCTGATCGTTACGAGACATTTGACTTTGATAATTATGACAGTGATGATATTGATGATTTCATCAATGATGAAGAAGAAAGTGATGAAGATTCAGATGTAAGAGTGCTACATTGTACAGTGTATTTAAAATCTAGGCATCTTTTTTTTTTAATTTAAAATGCATGAAGGGTAATTATTTTTTTTTACATATTCAAAATTTGAAACCAGAAAGGTTGGACTTGAAATATCAGAGAATAAAACAGCTCATTAATATAACATTTGACAGCCTTGAGCTTCTCTTTATCCAAATTTCAATGTATATTCTGAAAACTTAAAGGGTTTATTTTGCTATATATTCACAGACACTTGGGGGGGGGGGGATGGCCCTGCTTTTCTACCTTTCCTCTTTAAATCTTGGATTCACACACCTTTTTCCTATTTTTTATTCTAATATGCATGTCATTATAAGTATTTTATCCCTTTTGTCTCTATAAGCTGTTTTTAAATTTACATATCGTTTTCAACTGCTACATAAAAGATCAGTGGAAAATGACATGTATACCCTGTATTTAATAAAGGAGAATTATTATGAATTTCCAAAAAAAGAAGAAAAATAAGACAGAATTGTTTTTCCATATAAATAATGAAATTCAAGACTTAAAAAGTCTAACAAAGTAAAGTCAAATCTTCATATTTTAAACTCAATGGAAATGAGAAAAAATAGAGTTAAAATGGATTGGAAAGATGAAGTTTAATTACAAAAAGTTGCAGGGACTTTAGAATGACTTTTTTTGTGGAATTCAAGATATAAACATTACAAGTGTGTGCAAGAAATAAATTAAGTTGCTATACATACAAGTATATGGTCATGAATTCATTCTTTTCTTTCTACTTAAAAAGGAAAGACCACACCCCAGTCGAATACAGGGTTACAGAAGAAGACTGGTGCCCAAGGCTAGTGATTCCGAATCGGAGGAAAGTGGATCTTGCCAGCCTCTTGATAGCGAAACTGATACTGAGGATAAGCCAGTAAAAAACACAACAGGTAACCCATCCAGGTCTAATTCACCAGTGACAGGTGTAAAACTGAAGAAAAGCAAGTATAAATCTAATGTTATTGAATCCAGTGATTCAGATACAGAGTTGGAGGATAATTCTGAAATTACTGCAGTTGAAGAAAGGGTTAATGAACAAAGCTCAGCAGAAAATTTCAGCAACAGTGAGACTCACCATTGTGAAACAAACATGGAGGACAAAGAGACCTCTGTCACAAATAATGTGCAGACTGACTCTGGTACAGAAATTATCATAACTGAAAGCGATGAAGAACTTTATTTATGTTGTGCCTCAATGGATAATCAAACAGAAACTATAAACCTAGATAAATCCAGTGAAAATGAAAGTAGCTCTGGTTGTGAAAGTGAAAGTGAAACAAATTCTTCGTCAGGTAGTGAAACAGAAGAGGAGGTTCGTAAAGAAGACAGAGCTTATCGGCAAAGAAAACAAAAACTTCAAAAGTTCGAGGAATTTAAGGAGCAGAGGAAGAAAAGAAAGTTGTCAACTTAGAATATACTTAAATTTGTACTCAGTATCAAATTTCTAGTATGTCACCACCAGTTTTGAAATGCATATACATGCATGTATTCCACAAAATGAATTTCAAATGCATGTACATTGTATATGTACATGTAATACAATTTGTTAAAATCTCCAAATACATGTATATACTGTATTAAATATGTTCAAAAAACAAACACTCAGATCAGTTCTATTTGTTTTTGATTTGTATTAATGTATATATTGATTTATGAAAATTAATTAATGGATTTTAGATGTACAATGCATGTTGATTGTTTATTTTCATATTCATATTGTTTATACATGTTATCAAATTTATTTTGACTTATTTTTCATATGTTTATATATGTTATAAAACTAATTTTTGACCTTAGATAAAATATTTGCAATACATAAATCTGAAAGTAGTTAATATTTTTGCGGATTTTCTTAGGTGATATGTATAGCTTACCTTAGCCAAAAGAAGAAAGGAGCCTGTCTGATAAAGAGTCATCTTTAATATTTCTGTCGCTGATTTTTAGTGTACTAGTAAATTGTCCCATTTTCATCTTCTTCTCCAGAACTGTGAAAAAAATTCAAATGTTTGACTAGAGAAAAAGAATTTTTTATCTCAAAGAATTTCAAATTTGTTCCAATAAAGGCCGTTTTAAGGGGTCATTATAAAAATTTCATTCCAAGGGAGATAATCAAGAAATGCAACAATAGATACAAGACAACGTGTAGATCTAGGAGCCTGCACATCACAATTTTTATCTGAAGACAGTAACTTTTTACTGTTAATTTAGAATAAAATATCTATTGAAAGGCTGATCCCAAATTAATGGATCTTAACACCTCCCCCCCCCCCCCCCACAACACTGCCCATTTCCCATCTCCCACTTCAACCTCCTAAGGTGGCTAATCATTGCATGTATTGACTGAAAAATAGCAATAATTGTATAATATATACATTTGTGGTATCTCTCCATTATATAAACATACAGAGAGAAAATATCTTCAATTCTGTATGAAGTTTGTCAGAGGTCAGAGGTCAATACGTGACCTAATCACACGGCGCAATAATATCTACCAGTTCATAAATCATAAAATGACCTGCTCTACTTGCTTTTCATGTATAAAAATGAATAAAATAAGCAAGTAAAATAATAATTATTTTATTTTAAATGTAAACAAGTATTTCATACAGTTTTTGGGCTATCGGTTCGACCTGTGTACATAGAGAAAACTAGGAGCCTAGCGTTTGTTTACATTTTTCTTCACTTTTGTCAGCTGCACAGTCTCTAACGTTCATCCTTATTTTTTGGATAGACCTTTGGTTAAGTTTTCATGATAAACTTTTATTTTATCTTTACATTTTACTCACAATAAATGTGTAAATCTGTTGGAAAATATCTTTGCAATCATGCCATGAACAGCTGCAAAACACCTCGGCGTTTTCGTAGTTCAATGTAAAGCTGTCGCCAGTGTCTCCGTGTTTATCAGTGTTTTACGATAAGTATGCCTTTAGTTACTGAAACCGTGGAATGTTTTTGATCAAATTGCAAAGTAACTGGCTCGGACAAGTGTCTCAATCCATCGGATCCATCCATCCCTTTCCAGCGACCGAAATTCCTCCAACTTTTTATCATCAAACTTCGGACGTGTTTCTTGTGTCTTTTCAGCATCGATTATCATTTTTCACAAATAAAATATTCCCAGACAACAATCTGTTCACTATTACTGATCACAAGTAGCCTTTCACAAAATATTCCCTTCGAAATAGATTCCTTAGCCTTATGAATTCGAAGCGTAACCGCCATGCAAGCCGATTTACACCTTGCGTCATTTTTCAAAATCTACGACGGACGGTTAGTGCAATAATTTAAATTCGAAAATATTCAATTGTCTGTCTCAAATGTATATATAAGTAATAAATAACAAGTTTATAAACTTCAATGGGAATTGAAGTGGGTCGGTACGTGATCAAATCTTCTGAGAAGGCCTTCGGCCATTGAAGTTTATAAACTTGTTATTTATTTCTTAAATATTTTGTGCCCAGCAATATTTCAAACGGTACTAGATATATTTTTACATTTGTATGGGCGCTGACCATTGCACCATCTAGCGTTAATACAGACGTCAAGTGTTCATTTTTAATTTTTTTCTTTTTTCTTTCTTTCTTCTTAGATTTTACCTCTTTTTTGGCTCACCAGCAAGCGTCAACTTGTCTAACTGCTATAGCTTGGTATGCAATTTGATCATCGTTCATTTTATAACGGAGTCTTTTGGTTTTGCTTCTTAGTGTGAAAGGTGGAGATAAAAACAGTGATCGATCTAAAAAAAATGTAAACAATACTAATATGTGAAAAGGGTATAAAAGACAATCCCCTGGAAATTTCCGAGCTGGGGTCAGGTGCCTAGGAGGAGTATGCCTCCCCTGTCACACTCGGCGCGAGCCCTATGTAACGGAACTTTCTGTAGTCAATTCAGCTGGTATATAAAACAAAACACATATATAGCAATTAGTCTGAAACAATTTACGCTATCTAAAATAAGACCAATGATAGGATATAAAAATAAGCTCATAATGACGATCGACCGTAAAATTCAAGAAATGCCGATTTTGAACGAGGTTGTTGAAAGTCCTTTAACCCTCTTACTGCCAGAACTGTGTCTAATTTGTGCAGTTGATACGCCAGAACTTTTGCTTACATGTACAAGTATCAGAATGCATTGAATATTCTTTTAATGATAAGCAACATCCTAAAGATACATTGTAATGATTTTACAAATAACGAACACAGGGACATTTCAATTCTGATATAATGACGTCAGCTCCTTTGCTAGTATTACGTCACAGTAAAAAAAATCCGCGTAATTTGGCAGATTCATAATGTAAAAGAATATGAAAAATATAAGCGTTTTTAATAATTACTGTAACAATAAACAGATTGTTTTTTGTTTTGTTTTACGCTGTTTAAAATTACTACTTATAAACATTCGGAGAACAGAATGAGTACTATTAATAAAAAGTATTTTAATTATAAATTCCACACTATATTTTACGGAATTTTGCTAAGGAAACGTTCTGCAAATAAGCCCCCGTCTTCTCTGATAGAAAAGAGGTTTTTAGACAAAATAAATGCACGTTTTCTTTACAATCAATACAATCTGGAATACAAAAGATATTTATTAAGGTAACTCTTACGTTTATTACCATTACTTTTTTAAAATGTTTAAATTATTAAGATTGAATTCTTAATAAAAACAAAGAAACATGGATCCAAAAACAAACAAAACTAAAACTAAAAAAAAAAAAAAAAAAAAAAAAAAAGAGAAATTCATTATTCATTTTGCTGAAAGTCAAGATCACACGATCATGGTCCTTGGTGTCATTTGAAGGCACAATATTAGTGGAGTATGCATACCAGATATAAAGTCTCTATCTCCTATGGTTCAAGTTATGGCGAAAGTTCGAAAAAGCTATTTTTAGCATATAGGTAACAGTCAAGGTCAAAGGGTCATTGACCTTATTGGTATTTCAGAAAAAAAGGAAGGAAAATGTCTCCATTACCAAAACATGAAAATCCTATTTCAGGGGGTGGGGGTAGGATCGAACTTCTTATTGTATAATTTTTTTTATAAAAACTTTTTCGACCGAAAGTAGAACGTACATGTTGAGAGAGGGGGAGGGGCGCTAACTTACGCCACCCCTAGCCCCCTCCCCCGGTTCCGATGCCTATGTTATAAATAATTATTAATTAATTAATACGTAATCCAAAAGAGACTTTATTTCGCAAAGTAGGTCAAAGTCAAGTGGACTGTAATGCTGAAATATTTTTAAAACAGTTTTATGACAAACAGTGCATATGTTAAATACAAGTAGCATAGACTAACCTTTTAAATGTCAAAAATACATTGTACATCGGCACTGTCAACAATTTCAGATAGTAGGTCAAAGGTCAAGTTCAAAGAAGCTATGTATGTGCAAAATATGAAATCCATATACCTCTTACAGTTCTCGGGATACTATTATAAGGTGTGACAGACGGACAAACAGACAGACGCCGGGAAAAGTGATCCCTAAGTGTCGCTCTGCTGTACAGGCGACACAAAAAGTATTGGAAAAGAAGCAGATTTAGCCGAAAAGGGGGTTAAGGGGGCTATAGCAACAACTCACACACGGTTGTTACAAATACTTGTAAAGGGGGGGGGTTAAATAATGTAATCATGTAATAACATTTACAAAATCAAAGTTTTCTTTTGGTTTGTGAAGGAAATCTAATTCAAAGTACTTTAATACATCAGTAACATTTTAGTAGTACATGTACATTAAAGCTATATATGCCGTATTAGTGTTTTATTTTAAAAGTAATAAATATATGTGGTGTCTCATCAAGTTATATAAGTTATATACTTTCTGCAAATAAGACAATTCCACTCCATCACCTTTAAAAGTTATGAAATATTATTTGGTAAAAATTATTTTCTTTCCGTGTCGGATAAAAAACCGCCTCTTATTGAAATATTCATGATCACGTTGTCTCGCTTGTTTACAGCAAACAATGGTCCAATCTCGTGAATGAACCGAAAAGCATGACGGTCTACTACGTTTTTACTACAAACACGTGAGTTAGGGATAGTCAATATTGAGAGCACTTTAGAGTTGGTTGCTTTTTGTACCTAGGAATAATCACGTGCAATTGTCTTTTCAATGGACATTTTCGGTTGGGTGAACTTCTACAGATGTAAGCAACTATGGATAAAGAAGTGTGGAAACCATGTTGTGTCAAAATGAAATAACTAATACAAACAAATGATATAATTTGATCAATCAAAATGGTTATTAGATGCATTCGATTCTGCATTTATTAATGGTTCAAAACAACAAAAAGTATTCCACAGAATATCATGTATACATCTGCACAATATACCGAATGCCAAAACCAGAATACTACTAAATAATATAATTATATTCTTTACATATGAACCACAGTATTTCTGACCCCTTGAAAATAATATAAAAAATCTTGCAGGTAGGTTATCAGCATTGGCTCGGGCTAATTCGAAAGTGAAATTTGGAGTTTGGCAGTAAATTGTAGTGAATGAATAAAATTTAGTAGTGAAAGATATTGGAACCTATTTTACTTGTCAGATTTCTTCTAGCTAGTTGATTTTTATTCTAACTGTTCTATCCCCCCACCCACTTAAAAAAAAAAACCCGATGCTACCTACCTGAATTAATTTTTCTTAATGGTGTTCATGGAAATGCTTGGTTGTGCACTCAGACTGGAATAGTTTTTAGAGGCCTGGAATTCCTTGACCAATTTTATTTTATTAGCCCAACTATATTTCTAAGAAGGCAAGATGTATGGTATGTAAGTTTCATCTACATATGTTATGTGGTTCATATTAAAAAACCAAAAGGGATAATTGACGATATCCCATTCAGGGTGTAAACATAGCAGTTTAAATTACTTTCCATGCATAGTACTTGACATAAAATATTTTTTGCGCATAATGCGCTCCACACTGAAGATCCGTAAATGTTCACCCAACCGAAAATGTCCACTAGCCGTACAGCACGGGGAAACTCTAAATAAACGGACCTGTACAATGGAGTGGGGAAAACTTTAATTT